AAGAATTAATTAGGTTCACTGGTTTCTAAGCTACAGTGCCCCGCAACTGCTGTTAGCCGAAAATCATAAAACCGCGATTTTTCGCGATACGCGTTTTTTTATCTTATATAATTATTGCAAAAATGCCACTTTAACGTATTCTTTTTGCTGCGACGTTTAGTAATCGGCTTATTCGGCATCATCTTTCTTTTTATTAACGAAGATTAATTATAAGCGGCTTTGCTTTTAATACAAATCCGACCGTTATTGCAAAAGCTCTCGAAATACCTCGTAATACGATTAATTATACTCGAAAGCAAGCTTTATTGCGCAACAAAAGTATATTTATATCGAAAGCTATTCGGCGGAAATCATATTCGATATTTAATAAACGAATTTTATTACGACACGTTCGTTTAAATCTTAAGGATTCATATAAAGATATTATTCGAGCGTGTAATTTCGATTGTAAAGAGACTATTATTAAAAAGATTTTAAGAAATTATAGAATCTTTAATTAAAAGTGTAAAAAGCGCTTTGAACTTACGGAAAAACACGCGGCTGCTCGATTATAATAGTATTTAAACTATCGAGGATAGACGGTCGAGGATTAAAAAGAAATCGTTTAATCGGATGAGTATTCTATCGAGCGAAGTCGAAGAAAAAAGACCGAATAAGTTTTTCGTACGCTTAAAAAGAAATAAGATCGTCGGATAGTCTAAACATACAATGCGAAAAAGAATATAAAAGTAATAGTCTAAAAAGCTTTTTAAGACTGCGGAAAATCGAATCTTTATATTATAAATCGAGATTTCGAATCGAAAAAACACAAGTATTTAATATAATCTTACTTCGAAATCTTCGAAGCCGAAGTTAAGCTAATCTTCCGAAAATTGCTTCGCAAATATTAGTTTTAATAAGATAATATATCAATTTATATTATAAAGAAAGTTCAGCTTTAATTCGATAAAAATAAGATTATTTTATTAATCAATTAACCACTTTTTTCTCTCGACTTTAATCCGATCGAATACGTTTAATAGCATCTTAAAAAAAAGCTTTACTAAATGTTCCTCGACGTTGCGATCGATAAATCGAATTCGAAACACGCAAAGCAAAAGATAAAAAGTTGTTTGCAAGCTATATAAGATACATTAAATCAATCGTTATTCGATAATTTATATCAAAGTATGCCGGATAGAATTGAAGCTTGTATCGCGGTTAAAAGCTAGTATACTAAATATTAAGGTTCGTGCGCTTTCGAAAAATTAGCTTAAAAATTAAGAAAGATAAAAAGGGTCTAAAGAATAAAATGATATTTTTTTCATTTAATTTAGATTTGTAATTATTACGTAATTAAAGTATAAAAAATAGATGTCTATTGTTGATTTGGAGTTCTCGCTTAAATGGCCAACAGCAGTTGCCTAGTACTGTAGAAGTATGCATGCATACCGTCAGGCCTGTGGCGTAGGAAAGACGAATCTGGATCGATTGTATATTTGAATCCGGCATCTGACCTGGTGGATAATGAGGAGATAATGCAGAAGATGAGATGAGATTTGCTTTTAGACATTTCTCGATTTTAATTAACGCTCGGCAGAGAGAAATGAAAGGAAAGCAGGTGTGTGCCTTCTTGACTGAAAGCCTTGAACGTCAATCGGTGCGGGTCTGCCATCTTCATAGGAACGTCGCTTAGATTGTTTACGTGGGTCGGAAAATAACCCCTAGCTCTTTTTGCTTTAGAGCGAGATGGAGAGTTTATGTGTTCCTTTGCAAATCCAGCTGGGTTTGATGCGGATGACCGGTGGCCTGATTGATATATCTGGAAATACTAACTTGATGAATTTTTTCTATTGGATCTAAAACTACCGCCTTCTATCTACTGCTAGTGGTATCCTGATCGTGATTAAAGAAGCAAAAGGACTCCGTAGACAGATTGGCTGAATAAGAGTGTGCAGGCTGTGAGATAGTCTGGCACAGAAGAGTTTAACGGTACATAAAACGATCCTCGTTGATATCCAACTTATCAAAGGTACCTCCTCATGTACAAGTCTCAACCATTTCTTATCCTTTCGGAGACGGTCGGCGACGAGACCGACCTGCAGCAATACCCTCAACTCGCGGCCCACCGGCAGCAGCTCTTGCAATTGCTTTTGATATATCTCTATCATGTCCAAGTCAGTATAGGAGCCCAAGCTGCAAAAGCCACCAGATGCTCAACGACGGAAAAGGGGGACATCAAAGTCCAACGATGGCATGACGGCTAGCTAGCTGCCTTTCGGTGGAGAAAGGGTGTATGTTTGCTCGACTTACACAGCAGCAGGGTCTGGAGTCTCCATATCGAACCACTCGTCTACCGTGGCACCACCTGCCACCAGCAGCGCCATCTGCGCCGCGATGGTCTGCTTCAACGTGGCGAGGGTGGGCCTTTGAGCGGGAATCTCGTACAGGCATTCATGAACCAGGTCTTTTAGCTGGGCCGAGTAGCTCTGCTGTTGCAGGACAAGGGGTGGCAGGGGCGGCGAGCCTGCCGGGCCTAATGGCCTTGGCTGGCCAACCCCGTAGAGAATCCCTTGGGCTGGGGCGCCCTGGATATTGAAGCCTGGCATGAATGGCTGGGTATGGTCCGGCGGCCAGAAGTCGAGGCATATCAATCTGTCGTCGAACATCAGCAAAAGATCCGTGAGAATGAAAAAAGAAAAAAAAAGTCGTTTCAGAGATCTCATTCTTAGCGTAGCAGCCTGTCCGGCCGGCCGGGGCTGGACTGAGATTCGGGGGATGCTTGCTTACTGGTACATGATAACACCGACTCCCCACTGCGATGGCCGTCAGCATTCGTCTTCTAGACTCATATCCTTCGCAGGGGATCCACCCACGCCCGGTCAGAGATCATCACCGCGGGCGGGTTGTCCCTTCTGCACTGAAAGGATTATAGCGGTTGAGACTTAACGATATTGGTAGCGCTACTGTACTGGCCGCAGACAGGCGACGCGGCGTAATCCGCGTTGTTCCAGCGCGCGGAGAATTGCTCCTGAGATGCGAGATTCAAATCAGTCCCCTCGGAAAGACGATTCTCAGAGTCGACTGGACCTACCGGTGCATAATAGCCATCCGTGCCCTTCGCGCGCAACTCTTCGTTGGTTGCCCAGTCCGCAGCAGGTACCAGCGGAGGCGGCATCCTGTCCTGCAACGTGTAGGTCCCAAAATCTCCTATCTGTCAAGGGTAGTCAGGCATGCTGTCTCAGAACCTGGACTGGACGCTCCTATATCGCATCCTCGGGCTTACTTTGTATAGCGGCAGCTCCGGATGGGCGACTGTCCGATTTCCCGCCATGACTGAGAGCCGAATGTTAGCACGTGGAGGTTCTCCTGGGCTGTTCGGATCTCTTTCGTGCTTCGCTTACTATTGCCTGGCTTCATGTCGAAGTGAACCCCTACAGGTCTCGCCGCATCAAAGGCAGGAAGGACGGCCAGCCCGGTGGCCGGATCATATCCAACCTCAGCACCATAATCTAACACGCCAATCCCGTCCACCATACATTCGAAAATCATCCATAGCGTTAGCTCGGAGAAAGGAAAGGTGCTACCGATAGAAGAAGAAGAGAGTCAGCCGAAATTTGGTATCATCGGAGGCTTGAGCGAGAAACTGTACTTGCCGAGCAATGCGTCTCCGGAGGAGCGTCAGTATCGAGCCCTGAGGACAGTATTCCATAATGAGGCGACGGACTTTCTGGTGCCAAGTATTATCCAGAGCCTCCCGCCGCCTATCTTGAGCATTCAAAGCTTTTGGGGGGGCCAGCAAGCGGGTTATGTGCGGCGAGCCCAATCGGGTGAGGTTTTGCATGATACCACCTTCATAGGTCAGATCATTCTCCACAGCTGTGATGGTCTTCACAGCGATATCTAATGGCAGAAGGGTGCCCTTGTAGCCAGGTACCCTCAGGCTTTCCCGCGACCATTGCCAGAGAATAACTGCAGTACAGCGAGTCAAAACCGATCAGCGAATTTTTTTTAC